TCCAGTAGCCTCAATTATGCTCAAATATGTGCTTCTGCTTCCACTAAGGATTTAGAGGCCAATTTTCACAAACTGTAAGTATTTTATATATACAGGAACATAAGAAGCCAGCTACAAGGTTTTTTTTAATAACCATGAAAAAGAGCTGACATAGGTACAGGCAGGAATGTCAGGAAGCCTTTTATCCAGTTGTGTCAACCTCAGTAATCAAAACCTTTTCCTCTCAGTTGCTAACCAGGACCTAAACTGATGGATTACAATATGAACTTTTGAGATGTAACTTAGTGGAAGTGTCTTGTGTGGCCACTACCACAGAAGCAAAGTGACAGGGTTGAGATGCCACAACCATATCTAGTGAAAGGATAGCCATTGTTATCCTGCTAGTTATTATAAGCTTAATATAGTGAGATCACAAATTATGTAGAATTGATGCTGATTGGCAAAGACGAGAAAAGTATGAACGATGAAGAGTGATCTGTTTATTAGAATGGGGAGGACGAGTATGAATGTCTTTCCCTGACATGAAATGCTGAACCAGGACACCTTCCCTTCCTTCTGGTTCTCCTTCCTACTCTCTCTCTCTCTCTCTCTCTCTCTCTCTCTCTCTCTCTCTCTCTCTCTCTCTCTCTCTCTCTCCCTCCCTCCCTCTCTGTCCCTCTCTCTCTCTCTCCCTCCCTGTCCCTCTCTCTCTCTCCCTCCCTCCCTGTCCCTCTCTCTCTCCCTCCCTCCCTCCCCCCTCTCTCCCTGTCCCTCTCTCTCTCTCTCTCTCTCTCTCTCTCTCTCTCTCTCTCTCTCTCTCTCTCTCTCTCTCTCTCTCTCCCTCCCCTCCCCTCTCTCAGCTTCTTCATACAGTCTACTGCTTCAGAAAATGGAGCAAAGCACATAGAGAAGTTGTCTCCTTCACCCTTCTTTCTGATGATACCTCCGGTTAGTTCCAGATATTTCTACTGTAAAATGAGGCAGTTAATCTATTGCCTAGTCTGGATAAAAAGTGTGTGCCAGCCAAGCAATTAACCAGGAGGCAGAAATCTCAGACCCTTTCCACTCCCAAGAAGCAGGGGCCAGTTTCCATGCTCTCTCTATCTCTAGTGCTGGGAGAAAACGGCAATTCCAAAGAAAATCGTAATTTTAGTAGAAAAAAAATCACTACACCATAGGTTCTCTGGACCTGGAAGGCTTACCATCTCTAGTAAAAACAAGTTACTGCCTATGGATTGCATGAATTTTGCCTGCTTTGTCCTAACAAAAGGTTTTAAAAATAAAAATCACAGTAGTTCATGAATAATAGAAAAGAGGGAGACAACTCCAGGTCAACATCAATTGTTTCTAATTCTAAGAAAATTCTCAACAGAAAACACACCTACCAGGACACTCCACTTACCAAAACAACAAACAAACATCCTGTGGTTGTTTCCTTTACTTTAAATTTCCAACAACAAAATACTTCTGACTAAGAAGGTCAGACCCTCCCATTGTAATTATTTGGTAACATGAGAATATGCTTATGGTATCTGTTAGCAAAAGCTGGCTAGACAAACAGAGATGCAGCACATCTGTTGGCTCACTAGTGGGTAATCACATTAATCATACTGCTTGCTCTTTGAACAATTTACCTAGTGTATCTGAAGTGCAAATGCCAACTGGTATCTATTTAGGAAAGAAATGAGACCCTCTTGCGCCATATTAGGAGTAACTGCTTATAGAATGAACAGCAATCCAGTTTTCATTCATTTTCTTCCATAACATCCTGAGTTCTGATGATCACATCACAAAAATATTACCTCATAATACTGTTCTTTGAGTTTCAGAATGAGCTAACATAACTCATTGAATTTCTCCCTTCTAATGGGGACATTTTAGAAGCATGGGTCAGAATTATCAAGCTTATAAAAGAAGAAAGGGCTGGTACATGCTGGTAATCCCAGCACTGACAAGGCTGTGACACGTAGATTCCTAGGGCTTGACGGACAGCTAGTGTAGTTTAATTGAAGGACCTGCTCCAAGGAGGCGGACATGAAGCAACACACACATATACAGAGAGAGAGAGAGACAGAGAGAGACAGAGAGAGAGAGACGAGAGAGACAGAGAGAGTTGGGTGATCATTGCCTGCCTGAATACCTTTGACATCAAGTCCAAAGAAGCTTTTGTATGGTGTTGTTTGGTCCCACTGCACAGAGTGTAATCAGACCACAATCACGATACCAGGTCTTGACAGAGCATTGCAACAAGACTTCCCCCACCAGTTGGCTAAGTGAAAACAAATCCCCGGATTCCCCCCTAGAACTTCAGACTTTCTTAAGTCAGGGAATAGTGAAAATTGAAGTCTGTTTGAACAATATGAAATAGAGCAAGTCTGTCTTGATCAATGTTGATCTGAGTGTGAGCTGTTTTGTAGACATATTTTCATTTATACCACTCAAGAACACCTACAGGACACCTGTAAGAAATCACCAGAAACTGGGCAATGATGGTACACATGTTTAATCCCAACACTCGGGAGACAGAGGCAACAGGTCTCTGTTAATTCAAAGCCACCCTGAACTACACAAAATTGCTCTAGTCTAAGGGAGAAACAGAGCTCACACAAAGGTGATCCCAGCACTTAGGATCCCACTCCTTTAATCCCAGCACTAGAGAGAAATACAAGGTGGAGGAGCTGAGCACAGTCTAAAGTTTGGTGGACAGACACAGTCTGAGGAGCAACTCGGTCGGGAGCAGACTGGGGTTCGGTGGACAGATGCAGTCTGGAGATGCAGTGTGAGGTTTGGTGGATCACCCCCCTTCAGTCGGAGAACTCTCTAGTGGATGGTTGCTTTGCTTCTCTGATCTGTCTCTGGGTTTCTATTATTAATACCAATTAGAATTCATGCTAGAGGCACCTGTCCATGACAAGGAGAAATAGGGAAAGGTTCTTGGGTCCCAGGAGAATTGACTGTGTGTATACACCATGTGAAATTGAGTCATCTGGCCTATAGGATCTAACACTGTACCAGGCATGTCATTCTATGCCTGACCCCTCAAATCCAATCCATACCCACTGCTCAAAGGATATACTTCCCCAAAGCCCCTCCTCCTTGGACCAACTTTACTTTTTCTCCTTTTCCATTCTCCTATATACTTTGAGTGCTGCTTACTGCTACCACCCATCCACCCAGTGGACATACAGTAGTTTTGACCTGTCTCCCAAACTTTCTTCTGAGACTCATGGATTCCTCGGAGTGGTCCATGATGCTTACTAACTAAATCAGGCTGTATCAGGATGACCTGGACAGATTCCCAACCTACAGAATTCTCAGAAGACCCAAGATGGAGCTTCCCAAGCAGCTTCCAGGCACTCAGAGACCACATTTGAAAGAGACCCACACCAAGTAAGATGGGCTTTTGAATGGAGGCTCATCAGACCTCCATTCAAACTTTACCATGACAATACAATATTGGGACCGAAGTAATGAATGGAAAGTGTTGGTGGGCTCCTCCATGGGGGCCACTCTCTGCAGCAGGGTGCCTGTACTTAGCTTAAGCTCTCATCCTCACAATGGCTTGGTGCCCTGGGCTTGTCCTCCAGAGTGACCTTCCTCGGAGCTTTACCGCCCTACACTAAACAAATTGCTTTTCAGATTAACAGTGTAAGGCTGGAAGGGACTTTGCAGGTCTAGCATCCTACACAATAAGCTCTTCTGGTACCATCCTTAAGGATGTTTCATAGGTCTCCCAACCCCGGCATGAAGGCCTGTGCCTGGACACCACCCCCTTGGGAAATCATCCCATTTTACTGTCAATTTTGTGGGGAAAGTCTTCCTTAGAGACACTGGTATTTGTTTTGTCAAAATGCCCATCTGCCCAGTGTAGGCCCATAACCTCTTACACTGGAAAATCATCTCATTCTATTGTCAAATGTGTTAAGGGAGTCCTCCCTGAAGTCATTGGTATTTGTTTTGTCAAGATCCCCATCTACCCAGTGCAGGCCCACAACTGCTAGCCTGATACCCACAGGGGACATTCATCACAGAATTTTAAATTTCAAGTTTTAGAAAAGTCACGTAACAAGCATACTTTCTGTTACATATTGCCCCTAGCAGGGTTCAGGGCATGACTCTATTATCAAATACATTTTTACTTTTTGAGTGAAGTATATGGATCCTCACAATTAGTGGGAAAATATATGAATAAGTTCAGACTGATTAGTATAGAATTTTACCATGAAATTTAAAACCCTCAGTTCCCAGATGTGTTCAAGTGCAAGACTACACATGAAGAACCATGACGGCTCCTGTACTGTCACCAGTGAAAACACCAACCAGCCTACCTCCTCCTCCCCGTTAGGGGTGTCGCACCTAGCTGGGGTGGCTGTCACGCTGTTCCTCTGTACCGTCATTCTTCTGACTTACCAACTGCTCAATTAATCCACGGCCATGAGGGAGAGCTAGGAACACACTCAGTACCTCATCCAAATCAGCTTGGTGTTTCAAGTTCCAGTGTATACTGGCTAGGAGAGCCGTCCAAAGGACTAGCCTTCCATTTAGAAAAGAGAAGGCCCAGGACCCTGACGGACATATACTTATCTTAGTAACGTCTAGACATGTGCACAAATCACCTTATGTTACTACAAAATAGGGAAAGCAAGAGAGAGTACGCGGCTACTATAATGTGCTGGGCAGCTTGACGACTTACACACGTGTCTCATCTTTACACTCACTGCTCTACGAAGAAGATGGTGACATCACTCTTTACAGGAGGAAACTGGAGCCTGGCAAGTGAAGTTACTCAGAGCCACACCGAAAAGCCAAAGGCAGATCCAGGACTCTGAAGCTGAACTAGGTCTCTCTGCTCAGTTGTCCCTGTGTCTGCTTGTAGCCTGGCTGCCGAATACACTCTACTCAAAGACTGTAGAGGATGCAGGTGCCCCACATGGCTGACACCGGTCACTTGATGAGAGAAGATACGGCTAAGAATGACCACGTGACACGGGGGGGGGGCTTTAACATGGCTACTGTGGCACTTGGCTGGAGAGGAGAAGCCTCTGTAGCCGCCCAGTTGTCTGGAAACCACTAAGATTCTAAAGGCTGCAGCGACATCAACTCTAAATTCCGGATGAAGGACACTCTATACCTGCCCTGCCCTGGAAGGAGGCAGATCTACTCTCAAGTGCTCAGGGTGGCCACAAGTAAGCCCAAACAGAGGTGATAAGGAGGCAGGCAGAGCAGCGAAGGGATCGGAACATCAGGATTTAAAGACCCTAGGCTTGTTCTGGCCAAACCTGGGCTCTGGTGGCGGAGAGTTAGCTTCCTTCACTGGGGCAAAATGCAGCCTAGCAGGTAGGGTGCTAGGCTAGATTGTGTCTGTCTTGCAGGCCTGAGCAAGGGGCCTGTAGGCAACAACCCCCACTCTGTGGAGAGCCTGGGCCAGTTGGGAAGGAACTCGGGGAAGGGGGAGGGGTAGGCTCAAGTAAGCCAGCTGAGTGACACTTCAATGGACTGCCAGCGGGAGGGGAGGGTCTGAGGCAAGCGGAGGCTTGTGGGCCTCCTCCAGCCACCTAGTGTAGGTAATTATCCTCTCCTTCAGGCCTTCAGGGGCTGACCTGCATGGATTCTTCGATGGTTGATCCTTCCTCTGCTCTACCCCCCCCCATCCCCTGGAGGCTGGCTCCAAGGAACCTGTACCTTTTGGCTCCGCTCCCTTCCTGAACCCAGCCCAGATGGGAACAGTACATCAAACAGGGTAATGAAAAATCCTCGAAGCTGACTTCCTTTTACTCAGCTTAGAGAAAATCTCTCATGAAATGGCCAAACTGGTCAAATGAACACAGACGCCCCGCACAAGGTCAGGGCACTGAGGGAAGGAGGCAAATCCTTTGGAGGTTGGATTTCAAGTAGGAAAAGAAAGCTAAGCCTGGCAAAGGAGAAGGACAGGGCCAGACTCCACATTTAAATACAGAGGAATTTTGAGATTATCATATTAAAAGTTTTAAGTTATGAATCACAGTTCTTTTTTTTTTTTCCTGATATAGAAGCCAACCCTTGTGTCTCACAAAGAAATCCCATTTGTTAAAATCTCTATTTGATATTGGGGTTTTTATATCCGATTTTCTGACTAATTTCTACTTTGTCCTTCTACTGAATAGTCTCCCAAACCTTTAAAATTAAGTCCCACTGTCTATTCAAGAAGGTATTCTAAAAATCAAAGTATGGTTTTGTTTTGTTTTGTTAAAAAAAAAAAGTATGTTCTGCACAGCACGATGCCAGCTCAAATGTTTTAAGGAAACAGTGTCTATCTTCAGAAATTTTCTTTTCATAAGACCGCCTTGGGTCCTTTGCAGAAGTGCAACAACTCCAGATTTGGATGCCCCGCCCACATCTGGAAAGACCTGCAATACAGAGGATCCAATGCCAGAATTCAGCCTCTTCCAGGATTGCAGAACCAATATAAGTCCAGTGTTGTGGTTTACATGTTGTGTATAGAAACTAACTTAATTCTTCGAGTTCATGGATAATAAAGAAAATCTAGCTGGGCATTGGTGGTGCATGCCTTTAATCCCAGCACTCTGGAGGCAGAGGCAGGTGGATCTCTGTGAGTTCGAGGCCAGCCGGGTTTACACAGTGAGTTCCAGGACTGACTCCAAAACAATATAGAGAAATCCTGTCTTGAAAAACCAAGAAATAAAAAAAGAAAAAAAAAGAAAATCTAGGATCATATGCCCTCACAAATTGAGATTTCTTTGTTTAGAAAACATCAGCATTTATGATTAATTTTTATCAATTTTTAATAAAATTTATTATCAACCGTTCTATGTTTGTAGAATTTTAAAAATAATGATGCAACTTCAATCATGCAAGAGCAAAGGGGAATTAATTTTCAGTAATTTCTCTGAAGTCATCATAGAGGTATACAGTTACTCAAAAAAAAAGTTGTCAATGAATACTCTGAATCTCCCTTTAAAATGATGAGTTTTTCTGGTTCAACCTTTGCTAAGAACAATGATGCTTAATTTACATTAAGCTCATTTTGATGAAAAAAACCGTCTCTTATTTTAAATACTTCAAAGTTGACTTCAACACTGATCAAACTCTGTGCTGGTCCCTCTCCCCTAACTAATTAGCAACTATTCTCCAAACAGGGCAGAATTAAAAACACAAACAACAACAACAACAAAAAACAGGACAGAATTTGCAGCTAAAAAGGCAAAGAAAAAAATTCAGGAGTTATTTTTCTAACAATACACATCATCAAAGCTGATTTCTCATTAAAACAGAAGGTCCAAATCGTAGCTTAACTACACCAGCCTGTGTTTACACAGCAAGAGTTTGAATTTGGAGTCTGATGTGGCAAAAGAAGAAAAAGGAAAAGGAAAAGGAAAAGTGAAGGCAACAGTGAGGTTCCTGAGGGGAGCCCTGCAGCTCCCAGCAAGCTACAGCTGACCCGTGGGGCAGAACTCGTGGGGAGTGAGGGACCCCCCACAGGAGCTGCTGGGAGTGAGGGAGCCCCCACAGGAGCTGCTGGGAGTGAGGGAGCCCCCACAGGAGCTGCTGGGAGTGAGGGAGCCCCCACAGGAGCTGCTGGGGTATGAGGGAGCCCCTACAGGAGCTGCTGGGGTATGAGGGGAGCCCTCCACAGATGAGGATGGGATGCTACTTACACACTGAGCTTCAGGTCCAGGACAGGATTTCATTTCAGAGGATCGTGAAAAACCTACTGACCTCCTTTTGCTGTGACATCTGCCAGCTCCCGGATAAGGCTATACATGTTTTACACACTAAACACCTATTTTATCTGTGATTTAGAAATCTGAAGACAGCTTTCCTTTTAACTGTTGCAAATGTAGTCAATCACACATGCGTAGACTCAGCATAAAAACCTTGTCTTGGGGGCTGGAGAGATGGCTCAGAGGTTAAGAGCACTGACTGCTCTTCCAGGGGTCCTGAGTTCAATTCCCAGCAACCACATGGTGGCTCACAACCATCTACAATTCAATCTGGTGCCCTCTTCTGGCATGTAGGCAGGACAATGTATATGTAATAAATAAATCTTTAAAAAAAAACCTTCTTATAGAATATATCCCACTACACGTAACACATAACAATATAATAGTTGTGTGATGTTGAAACTATTTTCCTCTAAAACAGATAGTTAGTTCCCCTTGGTGTAGTAAAAGGGCTAGAAGAAAATATAAGAGTTGGTATGCTTCCCTAAATCCAAATTACTGAACCTTAAGAGTTTAATACATTCCAGGGTTCCCATCGTCTCCCATGACCATGCAACCCCTACGCACACAAAACCAAAATCTGATCTTTCTTCTTCAATAGAAGTACAGGCTTAGATGGCACATGCGGGATCCCACATCTGCCACCTCACCTTGGGGCTCTACTCTGGGAGCAGGTCAAATGTGGAAACTCAAATATCAAGCATGCATGATAATATATTTCAAGAAAAAAGAAAAGAAAACAACAGTAATGGGGCTGGAAAGTATGATACCTCATTGGTTATGAGCGCGTAATGCTCTTGCAGAGGACTCTGGTTTAGCCCCCAGCACCCATCCTGAGTGGCCCCTAAACACCAGTAACTCTAGTTCCACAGGCCCAACTCCCTCTGTTGGTCCCTGCGAGTACTGCAAACACATGGAGCACATAATGACAAGTGGGCACACACACATACACATAAGTTATAAAATTAAAAAAAAAAAAGGTACCTAACACAAGTCAAAACGGTTTTAATTGCATGGCAAACTGGCTTGTGTTTTCCAACAAGGATTGCACTTGCTAAGATCTAAGTACCAAGGATGTTTGCATTTTTCTCACCTTAATCTATACCTTAAGTAGCCTGTGGGTAGCTACTACTACTCCCATTACACAGACAAGGAAACAGGAATAGAGATAGTTTGTGTAAGCTCCCGAGGCTGCTAGGAGTAGAGTTGGGATTTGAGTGCTGGCGGTCTGGTTCATGAGCTTTAAATACTGCATCTATATATGAAATCTCTCTCTCTCTCTCTCTCTCTCTCTCTCTCTCTCTCTCTCTCTCTCTCTCTCTCTCTCACACACACACACACACACACACACACACACACACGCTCAGAGGTGAGAACGTATGACAGTGTACCTATCCTGCACAGCAATTTGGTTGGAACAAGGAGTTAGCAGTCATTGGAGATGGTTCAGGACCTCTCTACAGATCATGGAAGCTGGCTACTCTTGCCACTGAATATTGAGGGCTGAGAATGTGAGGGGTCTGAAGGTGTTTCCAAGCCGGGGCAGAAGGGAGCTCGCTGCACCACAGCACCTATGCATGCACCAGACACACCACCTTGTCGCGCTTCCTTCCTAGCGTGTCAACACGAAGCCACTTACAACAACATCCTGTAAGCAGCCTGGAAGGGTAACAAGAAGGGATTAAGGATAGGAAATGGCACGGAGACTGGCGTGGAAATGCTGGCTGAAGCCAGCCTGAAGGAGAGTCAGAGGACAAAGACCTAAAAATACAGTCCCCGATTGCCCTATCACAGCCTCATACTGAGAAACCAGAAATAATCGCACTTCTTCTCTCCAGGCCCACGGCACACACAGCTAAGCTAAAGTGTCAATGTTTGCTGTAAAGTACATTCGCTATCACCCCCCCCCTTAAAGCCTGGGACGTATGGAAATGGCACTGTCACTTTTCTGCTCATTAACTCCCCAGTAGGAAATAAAAGTTGCAGCAGACAGTGTGTGGTTGTTTTCCCTTTGAGTTTATTTAGTTTTCAAAAGAGTGAATCATCTGAGCTATGCAAATGAAAGTTATGATGGCTTTACTCAAATGACTAACTATGGTTATATATAGAGCACAGTTCCTTAAATAGCAGCCTCTAGCTCGATGGTGCCAAGATGACTTCCTTTTGTACCGTAAAACCTGAGACCCAAGGCCCGAAGGGCTGGGACATGCCACCACTTCCCTCAGCTTACACGGGGTGGGCTGGACAGTAGCTGAAGTGATGGGTGGGGGGCCAGAGCCCCCCCCCTCTGGTGCCCATGGTAACTCAGATCACTGCTCTTCACTAAGGAGAATGAAGTCTGGGGACCATCTGTGACCCCTTAGAAAGGAAAAAAGAAATGTGCATCAGTGTATCTTAGCTAAGAAGCTATTAGGTAAAATGGTTGCCATTTTAGAAGACTATACTATGGGTCTTTTGGGGTGTATGTGTGGGTGTGGGTGTGTGTGTATGTGTGTGTGTGTGTGTGTGTGTGTGTGTGTGTGTAATGGACTCATCAAAATACATACTGGCTCGTGTATCAAAATGCTGGCCAAAAGTGCCTCAGATGGTTACTTTCCAGATATATCTGATATTGGCCACAAGAAACAGGACAAACACAGATGTCTTACCCCCAAAAGAAGGCCTGGGACTTTCCAGTATTAGAAACATGGCCACAGAAAGGACACTCACTACTGAGATTTGCCCAACTTTTCATGTAAACCTCAGCTTTCAACACACACACACAATCGTACTCCTCTCAACTTATATTCAAAATACCAAAGGACCATCAAAACCTCTAATTTGCTGAAGTCGGTGACAAGCTTTATACATTGGGTCAAATGCAATCTAATCTGAGTTGGTTATATTTAAGACAGGCAAAGCAACTTTGCTACTTTACTGAAGCCACCACTCTGGGCAGCTTGGACAGGACTGGATCCAGTTTGAAGGCAACTGGCAACCAACCTTCAAACTTTGTGATGAGATAAAACCCATTGATGTTGGCTCACAACGGCCCACTCCGACTCTGACTTGCCCTCCGTGTTTCCCTGGCATAGCTACTCCTTTGCTCTTGTATCTGTTTTAACACAACTTTACTTTTTTTTTCTTTTATCTTTCCATAACTGCACCCAGGGACCCCAGGGGATTGACTTCTCTTTTATTGTTGTTGTTGTTTTGACTTATTGTTTGAAGATCTGTAACTCAAAGCAGCTCTCACGCCTCTGATGTCTAAGCTGGGGCAGCATAAAAAGGAAAGCCAGGGCCTGGGTATCAAACTGCGCAGCAGCAATACCAGGGCTTATAATCAGCCATCTAGGTTTTCATCTGATTTGGGGCTGCCTGCTCCCGCCCCTAGCCGCCCCCCTCCCTCGCCCAGCCCGCCCCGTCCGCTAGCCAGCAAAGTGTGAGTGCGGTGACTCCTACGCCTTTGTTAGGAGTCAAGAACAAGCAAAAATAAAAATAAAGACCTAGAGGGTTTTGCGTACCAGGCCTGTGAGATTAAGTACACCTCGACTGAAGGCAAAAAGTTATTTCCAAGGCCGGTTTTCTACTTCACAATGCAAGGAAATTTAGGGGCTTTTCAGAAGGCTGTTTTAGAAAAACAGCACTTGAAAACAAGTGAAGGAGGTACAGCCGACAAAAACCATGTTCCCAAAAGGCTCATGCTGATGAGCAGACGGATTAGCAGATTCAAAGCAAACGTTAATTCTAGAACCCAATGTCTAAAGACAGACCCACATCCTAGGTTAGAATCGTGCTTCCAGAATCTCCGTCAGCACAGCACACTCCAAA